AATTCAGACTTTTAAGCCCAGCCTCCATGTGACTGATACTCACATCACATGGCTATCGTTCACCCTAATTAATACCTATTGTTAACAGAGGGTGGAGTGATACTGCCAATGACAGCACTGTAGGAGGGGGACAACTGAATGAGCAGATGCATCAGGACACTCAACAAGGGAAGGTCTGGCCAACAGAGGACCCAACGCACACCAGCTAACGTTGAAGCAGTCAGTACCCTCTTTGAAGAGCAACATGCTGGAGAAGCATGAGAACCCAAACATTTGGAAACTCATGTTGAAACCGCTCAAGGACAGTGTGAACACTTTTCATTTGGAGGTATTCAGTAACCAGGAAAGACCTCTGCTGAGCAGTGAACTGTGGTCGGGCCGTTTTACACCACAGGCTAAGGCAGGAAGAGAGACAACTGCACAGGTGCTGACAGGTTTTATGTCCAGGAATTATGCAACTGTCTGCATAAGATAAGGTGATGTTTGTGATCATGTTTTAATGAAAGAAAATGACCACACTATCACATGATCTTGTACCAGTTTATGAAATAATTACATTTAATACCCACTGAATACATGTACTGTACATGTACATGTACAGTACATGTAATGTCAGTTGGCTGGATTGACTTGTCCACGGCCACTTCACATGTGTTTGTTAACCCTTGGTTATGATCCACTCAAAAATTAGATATTTTAGTTTCTACGTGAGGACGTGAAAGGGTTAATTATTTTAAAAACACCATCTAAACTTTTAATTTGATGTGACAGATCGTACTTTAACCCTCACATTTCCTTGCTCAAAGGACATGAATTTTGKGAATTTCCAACTGTCCCTGCTCACTGGAGCGTGAAGAGTTAACTAAGATTATTTTTTTATCCTTTATTTATACAGGAAGATCTCTTGAGACTCATTGTCTCATTTACAAGAGAAACCTGTTACATCCACCACAACAAAGTAACATAAAAACAATAATTTCAGTGTCATTCGAAGCAGAATGATCCCCTCTACCAAATGTTACGCCCACATTTGGAATTTATTTATTTATTTTGGTGATTTTTCTGAGAGGATCATTTTTTCTGCTACACCCTGTGTCTTTTAACTAAAAATGCTCAATGGAGCAAAATAAAAATTTTGTTTTTACTCAAAGTATTGTGATTATTACTGACACAAAATACAACAGTTTATAAATGTAATGTAAAATGTCTCCTGCTCTCTGTGCTCCTCTGAACCACTCGAAGCTGTAAATGTGTTGTTATCGTCCAGCCCTGAACACCAGGAATTCTCTGCTCTAATAAATAATATTTTCCGCTCCTCACCTGCATTCCTGCCAGACGCCTCGGGGCACGTTCATCTGTGACTTTTCTTGTGTTTGCTTCATTTCCACGTGCTGCACTCTAATCACACATAGGCCGACCGGCTGGTGTCAGACAAACCGCTTAATGCTGAAA